CCTGACCCTTTGCCTCATTTGAATGACTTCTCCTTAATAAAATGGTTCAACACATTCTCTCTCTCTCTCTCATCTTAAGGTCAGAGGAACTCTCACAGCATCCCCATAGAAAAAGGTATTTCTGTCTCTATGTGGTTATTTTGCCCAGCCCAGTTAGCTCAGTTCCCCTGGAGCCAGACTCAGTGAGACCCAGTGTGTGGGAGGCCAAATTAGCATGTGACTCTGTCTCCCCTTCTGATTGGTGTGGCCTCATCATTGTTCACTCTATGATCTGGTTGCCTAACTAACCCAGATGATAGCGCTAATCTTTGGAGTCCTGTGGCTGTGTCCTCCTGCATAGGAGAGCCTTCCTACATCCCTGTGGGTCGAGCTATGCTCACCTGTCCCTTTGTGATATTACCCCTTGTCCTGTTTTGGATATGACTTTTGTGTGTCCCCTTCTCTTGCTCTGCCCTTGAGTGTGGCCTTACGAGATGTCAGCCAGCAAAAATTAACAATTAGCATTTTTGAAAATTATTCTCAGGAAACACCTTAAAGAGTAGCAGAAATATCTGAGGGGTTCAAAATTCAGAATTCATTTTTTAATTCCTCAATCATTTTATTATGGAGTCTTTAGAATTCCTTTTATAGTCTGTATACTAGGAAATGATTAAATATGTAATGTGAAATGTTTTTCTCCTGCTAAGCAAGTTGTTTTTTAAAAAATATATATGTATTTTCACATGTATGGCTGCTAATCTTACTGGAGTGAGACGGTATCTTAGGGTGGTTTTGATTTCAATTTCTGGGGAGAAGATGGCAGTGAATAGAGTGCATCACCCCCTTGTACTTCGTCACTGCGCAGGTGAATAACGAGGTACGACGGCCAAAAGCTATCTTGTTAGGAAATTTCCATCAAAATTGGGGTGCACCGAAACCTAGAGGAAGGATTTCCATCACCGAGGACCGGTTACTGGGTCACAACCACAAGTGAACTGTGCGACCGGAGATCTAGTGTGATTTCTTAAATGCTGTTCAAAGGGACCTGGAAAGTTGAAAGTCTTACTATAATTTTTAAAGAGAGTAAAAGGATCTTCCCAGATATGAATTCGCTGCATATTTGAGGACAACTCTGAAAGCTGAATACTGCCCCACATGGCTTATCCTCAGTATTTTCTACAGTATGCGTCCTTTCATACAAGGGAACAAAACTAGAACAGCTAAACCCTTTATATTTCTTACTTGCATAGGATTTATACTTTTTATTCCAAAAGAATCTTCCCAGTCCTTAGTAAAATACTGAGAAAACTAGAAGATTTCCGACGTTTCTCACACTCACAGGGCTTCTCTCCGTGAGGGTTTTCATATATGAAAATGAAAACAGGGCTGGATGAAAAGCTGACAGGATGTACAAAATCCCCCACAAACTGTTTTTTTTTTTTTTTCAATGTGATTAAAATGGCTTTGAAGACAACAGGGGAAATGGAAAGATTTGTGATATTTTTTACATTTAAAGAGTTATTCAGTTGGATGTGGTGGTGTTTTCCTTTAATTAGTGAGACTTGAGAGCCAGATTCTGAAGGATCAATGTTGGAGGCTAGCCTCAGGACCTAAGGAAGACCCTAAGAAACTCAGCAAGTCCCTGTCTCAAAATAAAAAGTAACTAGAATGTAGCTCAGTGTAGA